CTCCGCTCACACTGCCGACCAATGGTCGGTCACCTACAACCCGAAAAAGTCAAAAAAAAATTTTCGCTCAAAACTTGCTCCTAGGGGTAATCGACAGTCCTGATCACGATTCTAGACTTTATTTTCGGTTCCAGTGCCATCTGGCACCGGCATAGCGCCGAAGAGCTGAGTCTGTGCATACTAACGAATTCGAACGAAAAAGCAGTTTTGCTCCATAAAAGTAGGATTGTTCAGTTTATCGTGAATGTTTTTGTTAGGACCAATTATTTAGACAAACATGGATCCAAAAAATGAAAAATTGTAGAAAAGCAAAATTTTGTCCTCGGTGGGATCCGAACCATCGACCTATTTTTTACGTTTTTTTTATTCGTAGAAGCGCGCAGCGAAAATGAACCTCAGTTTTCTGGTCCTCGTATGTGCCCCTACAATATGCACAAGACCATTTTGAAAAAGCTCACCACGCCCTGAACGACCTCCCTTGTGAGGAGCGACAGTTCAGGCCACTCATTCCCGGTCATAGCCTAAAACAACACAAGCTCTTTCCAGATAATTTAGTGTCATTCAGGTGGACGCTCAACGATGACTGCAGTGGGCGCTCCTGCAGGAGGACCAGGATCTACAATGACTGCAGTTGGTGGTGTTGGTCCAGGATCAACGATGACTGCCGTTGGCGCTCCAGCCGGGGGACCAGGATCTACAATGACTGCAGTGGGCGCCCCAGCAGGAGGACCAGGATCAACAATGACTGCTGTAGGAGCTCCAGGAGGTTTGTTACAACATAAACATGCGAAAGGAAAAAGGCAGAAATAATATGCTCCATTGCAGGGCGTTCAACTATGACAGCTATTGGAGGTGCTGGTGGTGCTCCTAGTATGGCACCAATGTCAGCTGGTGGAGGTGGTGGCGGTGGTGGTGGCGGTGCCCTACCCGGACAATCTGCTTACTTCGGAGTTACTGGAGGCGGTGGAGGAGCCCAGTCAGCATACTTTGGTGTTGGCGGTGGAGGCGCTGGTGTTCCTGCTCCGAAATCGCCAGGTGGTGGCGGCGGTGGTGGTCTCGCTGGACAATCGGCATATTTCGGCGTCGGCGCTGGTGGTGCAGGCGCTCCTGGTGCTCAGTCGGCTTACTTCGCACCCAAGTAACTTGTCCAACTCGAATAAACCACTCTAAACTCTGTTATACCGCGGTGGTTTGTCAACGAGAACAGTGAAACACCGGTATAAAAAATTTCTGTAATTTTCACTGGTGACATCGCATTCCAATGTTTTTCTGCCTTCCTCAGCTGATTCCCCACACACACTAACAAATTTCTCACAGCTAGCAGTACGCGATTACAACAACAAAGAGTACTTTTCGAAAATTGAAGAGTGTAGCGCTAAGCATTCGATACCTCACAAGGTTACAATGGACCTGCAATTGTCGCAGCTCATCTGCAAAGGTTGAATTGATAGCGCGTATAAGGATATCTAGTACAGACACATCTCTACCAACAAACTGGTCAAACTTACTCGAACGAATTTCAAGGCAAGACCAGACCTGAGTGAGCACATTTTGGCCAGGAACATATAACAAGCAGCGTCACGTCTGCCGAATTTGATCAACACACTAGTTACACTCTATATATTCCATGAACTGAATGTAAGCAACATACCAATTCTTGCCATGTGGCATAAAGCAAATGGCTAAGCCACTTGGAATTCTTGCGAAATTCTGGAGCGGTGACAGTGAGCACCAGAGTCAAGCGTCACGCCGCGGAAAACTGGGGATTTTGAAGACCACCTCTCTGCGCAGTGTTAGGGAGTTCGCTGTGTCTTCAGAACTTAGATGTACAGTCCTCATCATTGCGGACCGGTGGGGCGTGTCAGTGCGGCTGCGTTTGGCGCGGTGCCAAAGTCGTTCTGCACCAGTTGTTGAAGCGGGCAAGTGACATTACTGTATTATATCCTTCGTATTACTCGTTTTCTACCACTTTTTGTCGCATACGCGTTTCAACAAAAAGGCTGAGAACGGCTTCAACAGTGTGCACACTCATACTGGCTGACACGCCCCACCGGTCCGCAATGATGAGGACTGTATATGTTGTGGGTTATGCGAATACCAATCAATCGAACAAAAGTACTGGAATTTTGCGGAAGGATTTATTTCCCAAGAAGTGGAA